TGTACATTTGAGACAGAAGGTCGCCTGCCCAACAGCGGCCGCTGTTGGTTTGGGACAACATTTGTTGTTGGGCATCGTACCCATTTTTTCGATACCCATGTCGGGCGTCCAAATGTAAGAAGCAGACTCCCGAGAAGCCTTCCCCCCTGCCCGCCTCCCCCTCTGCGCGCCGCCAAGAAAAAATGTCACACTCCTCGGCAGGGGGGAAGCGGGTCCTGAAGTCGGCGGCGAGCGGGGGGGAGGAAGGAGAAGGAGGAGGCCTTTTCAGAAGGCGGCGGGTCTTCTCAGAAGCCCTCGTGTTTTCTGAGGGGCTGCCGGTGCCTTTGGGGAAGGCTTGGGAAACCTCTCAGAAGGTCGGGGGACTTCCGAGCCTCCTGAGAAGACCTTCGCTTTCTCACTTCCCCCCCCCCTCCAGCTCGCCGCCGACGGGGGGAAACGGGTTCCGAGTTTTTTCGCCGTCTTCGGGCCCTTGGGGTCCTCCACGTGCCCTGGGACTGGGAGTAAACGATTCGGGATGGAGATCCCGCCCGGGGGGAAGGCCCCAGGGTCCAGGACCCGTTGCGCTCAGGACTAGTTTCCCCCACGCTAGAAAGTGGCATGTGTGGCACCCCGCAGTTGCGGATAAGAGAGACGGAGGACGTCCCACGCGATTGCGCGATGCTTGTAAACCTTTGTGAGGACGTCCCGCGCGAGAGCGCGAATTTGCAATCAGCTGTGGGTAAGTGGTAAGTATCAGGCGTGAGCCGCTGTTGTTGTAGCTGCGGCGGGACAACCTTGCAATTTCAGCGGGAATAGTCTCCTTTATAGAAACAGACAGGGTAAGAGCCACGATCGGGGCACCACGACTGGAAAACACAATGTTCACCGTTGGGAGGATCAACAGTCATAGTTTTCAAGAAGAAGAGTTCAACAACAGCACCAGTCGTTTTAGGACTGTTCGGCCTTATCCTCTGGCCTGCCGCTAAACACGTGTATCCCAAACCTTCGGTGTGTTGTTATATTTGTTTTCTTATTTTTCTTCGATCGTTCCCGCTTTATGGTGTATCTTTATAGCTTGCCACGCGTATTGTGCGTAGCCCCCAAATCAGGGAAAGAGAGGACGGATGGAAGGGAAGGGAAGGGGAGAACATGAAGCACACGCGAGATCAGCAGAGGGGGGGCCAGGAACTGACAACACGTGGCAGAACCAGACGGGCAGATCGGGCAGGTAGACCGTAGCGGGCAGGACGGGAAGGCGGGCCCAGGTAGCCAGGTCGAACAGGCGGGGTGCTGAAGCGAGAGTCTGCATGAATTGCGAGATCTCGAGCGATATTGCGATTCACAACTAAATCGGGAGTAAGGCCAAGGTGAGAGCGATATTCCTGACCGTCGAGGGCACGGCGTTGGAACAAGATGCAAGGAAGTTCCATTCGAGTGTGCAATTCTTGCGCACATATTCAGTGAAGACGACCCGCGCGACAGCGCGATTTTGAAAACTAATGTGAGGAAGTATCAGGCGGGCGCTGCTGTTGCTGTAATCTGGGAGCCAACAACACAGTTCGGTAACCTCGGATGATCCCTGATAGAAGAAACAGGGTCCGGGCCTCAGAAGGTGAACCTGAATTGGACAGAACAAATGGTCACCCGTGGCCGGAGGAGCAACACTACTTATGTTTCAGACAGGAGAATTCAAGAACAACGGCAACAACAATCATTATGAGACTGTTCGATCCTATCTGCTCGCGTGCCATTCGACACGTATATCCCAAACCCTCGGTGCCCGTTTTTTCTTGTTTTTCTTCTTCTTCGAACTTGACGCCCTTGGGGGGGTACCTTCTCTGCCTGCCACGCGCTTCCAGCGCAGCCCCTAAAACAGGGGAAAAGAGGACGGATGGAAGGGACAACGGATGCACCACGAGAAATATCCGCAGGAGGGAGGCTAGGATTCGAAGCACGTGGCAGAACTGGACGGGTAGATCGGGCGTGTAGACCCTCGCGGGCGGATCGGAAAAGGCGGGCCTTGGCGGCCAGGTCGAGCAGGCGGGTTGCTAGTGTGTGCGTCGCGCATGGATCGCGAGGTTTCCAGCCATACTGCGATTCCCACGTAAATCGTGAGAAAGCGGGAGGGGGAGGAGGAAAAGGAATGGGTGGAGGAGGAGGACGAGGAGGCAGAGGAGGAGGAGGAGAAGGAGGAGGAGGAGGAGGGCTATGACAAGGAAAAGGACGATGATGAGGAGGAGGAGGCGGCGGCGGAGGAAGAGGAGGAAGAAGGAGTCGGAGGAGGAGCAGGAAGAGGAGGAAGAGGAGGGGGAAGGAGACGGCGAGGGTGATGGGGAAGAGGAGGGGGAGGAGGAGGATGATCAGGATGAGGAGGTGCAAGGAAAAAACGCCACAGAGGTCTCGCGCAATCGGTCTAACGTAAGCAGGAGGAGGATGGTTGCTGCTCATCATATGAACGCTCAGAAGACGAACCCTAATAATAGCGAGCGTACACATCAGGTTACGACTGATCATAGCACCATGAACCATATTACGACGGCGAACATGAAGAAGCATCGTAATAATACTTTGAGTCAGAACAATAGTACGAATAATAACTACACAACTGTATGACTAATACTAAGGATCATACGACCACTACCGTTAACACTACTAGTACGACGAAACATACGAATACAAATCATACTATCAATGTGCATAACAGCAACACTAAGCACTACAACTAATACGAATGATACGTCGAACAACACGCATACTCAAACGACGGCGAAGACGGCTGGCAATACGTTTAAAACTAAGAAGACGATTCACATCGGCAGAACATGTTGACCAGACTGCCATTGCTAGTGTTATTGAGCGTACGAGCTTTGTGAGACTGCTAAGACTGATCAACATACTAATGCACATAGATTAAGAGGATGCTGATGCTGATGGTGAGGAGGAGGCACATCCACAAGGAGGGAGAGGAGGACCATGAGGAGGGGAAGGAGGACGATGAGGAGAAGGATGCTGATGATGATGATGAGGAGGAGGGGGTGATTTGCTACCGAAGCGACGACTGTGAAGAAGGAGGAGGAGGCGGCGGAAGCGGAGGCGGAGGCGGAGGAGGAGGAGAGGGACGAGGATGAGGAGAAGGAGGAGGAGGAGGCGGAGGAGGAGGAGAGGGACGATTATGAGAATGATGAGGGGGAGGAGGAGAAGGAGGAAGGGGGAGGAGGAGGAGGAGGAGGATGAGAAGGAGGAGGAGGGGGAGGACGAGGGGGAGGAGGAGGAGAGGACGAGGAGGGAGGAAGGAGGAGGAGGGAGGAGGAGGAGGAGGAGGAGGAGGAGGAGGGAGGAGGAGGGACGAGGAGGAAGAGGAGGAGGAAGAGGAGGAGGATGCGGAGGCGGAGTCGGAGGCGGCGGAGGCGGAGACGGGGGCGGAGGCGGATGCGGAGGCGGAGGCGGAGGCGGGGGCGGAGGCAGAAGTGGACTCGGAGACGGAGGCGGAGGAGTAGGAGGACGATGAGGAGGAGGAGGACGAGGACGATGCGGAGTCGGAGGCGGAGGAGGAGGAGGAGGGGGAGGAGGACCAGTGGACACCCAAGAGTCATCAACGATGTTGGAATTCACCCTCCAAGCTCCCTCTCCACAAGCTCCTGCAGCGGTTCATTCCATTGAGGGACCTGCTTCGTTGGAAGACAACAGTTTGAAGTTTCTGAAGCGTGCCAACACAGTATTCTCAGGATTTCAACGCCACGTATCAACCTCACTGCTGCGTCGAGACGATCGAGAATCGTGCCAGAACGCCATTGCTGGGACTTCAACAGAGCGAGCCAACATTACCGTTGCGCCCGCATAATCCTGAATCCTTTCAACACACCGCTTCTGGTAGGTTGATCATGGGAACCCGTGAAACCCTTCAATTTGTTATAAAAAGCGAATGCGCGCCTCGCTAAAACGAAAGCCACAGTTAAAAAAAGGAGCCGCCCCCAATCCGTGACACTCTTTAACATGTGTACAACAACTGATGTGCGCGACGCTAAGGCGAGAGACACATTTTGACAACGACCCGCCCTCAATCCGTGAAGCCCTTGCAAATATTGTGCGCGGCGCTAAGCCACATTTTGGCAACGACCCGCCCTCAATCCGTGAAGCTTTTCTAAGCTTTGAAAACGAATGCGCGCGGCGCTAAGGCGAGAGCCACATTTTGAAAACCGCCCGCCTTCCATGCGTGAAGCTCTTCCAATTGTTTCAAACGAGCGTGCGCGGCGCAAAGGCGAGAGCCACATTTTGGAGCCCCCCGCCCTCCATCTGTGAAGCTGGTGTTCTTTCTTAAGCCTCAGAGTCATCAATGGTGAGGAAGTCTCAGGCGAAACGCCCGGCCCGCCCCAAAGATTGGCCCCGGGGTGCGACAGAGAGTGGTTCCCGATAAGGAAAGGAATTGACGAGGAGGAGGAGGAAAAGGAGGAGAGGGAGGAGCAGGAGGAATAACACTAAGAAGAAGACTGTTGTTCGCATAATAATAGTACTAAGAGTCATAATGATAACGATAATGCTGATACCTGCAATAATGATAATCACAGGGACGATGTAATAACGACAATGTCGTACTTGTTTCATTAATTGTAATTCAAAATTTAAGCATACTCTATGCCACTACCATTAATCATAAAAACACGCATGTCGAATCTAGTATAATACTATCCATAATACCAGTCATGCTAAAAATAGTAATCCGAATATCAAGTATATGAACGACACGAAAACATATTAGTATTAACGGTGAGAAACCATACTACATAATACAACTACCCATCCGGATACGAATATTAATCAGACGAGTAAGGAAAATACGCAGAAGCATAAACATGAACATAAGCAGAAGCGACCGCAGAAACACAAGCAGACGCAAACACATCATCAGCATACTCCTAACAACAGGAAGGGAATAATAAAACGACAAAAGCAGAAGAGGGGGATGACAAGGGGTCCCCTTTGCCGTCCCCATCGCCAGGCCTGCCTGCCGCCTCCCAGACGAGGCTCGCGGAGCTGCAGCTCAAATTCTTCCGGCGGATCGACGTCGACATCGCCCAGGTCAAGGCCTACGTGCAGACCAAGGTGGCGATGCTGGAGGCTGGCCTGAGCAGGGGTGGGAGTCGAAGAAATCGTTGGAGGCCCGCTCGGACCTCTTGTGTTGGCGGTCGGACCCCCCCCCCCCTGGCGCGCTTCGCGCGCCAGTCAGAGGCGCCACCAGGGGAGGCGGGGGGCGCCCAGCGTCGCCCCCAGAAATCAGCGCAGACATCCAGACGTTTCGGCCGACTGGCCTCCTGGGCAGGAGGTGGAGGAGCGGGGGACGGATCGAGGAGCGCGGGCCGAAGTCTCTTGACATTCGCGCGTCCTGTTTTGTCCCCATGGGCAGTGCACTGTGACTTCTCGCGTGGTGACCTGGGCCGCGGAGTCGGCCTCGGGGAGGCCGCGCGACAGCGGGACGACATAACCGCACCGCGCGCATCGCGCATCGCGCGGCTCGACTCGCGACGCCCAATGGGCTGAGTTAGTATCGTCCTGGGTGCGTCGAAGGGGGCTCCTTCGAGGCCTTCCTTTACAGACGCCATCCCAATACACGCACGCCGCCCCAACAGCGGTGAGCACGCCTCGTCCTGCGCGC